AAGACATGGCTTTTCCAGCAAGCGGGCCTGACCTAGGGTGGATTTTAGTTAGGGATGATTTTAATATAATTTTAATTATTACACAGCTACTAATATTTGGCTTTTAATTTGGTTTTAGAGGGGTTTTTATTCTGGTATTTTATTGTTATTTGTTTTAATATGCTGTGCACCGCCCTGAGTCCTCCGGGAGAAGGGCGGTGTATAAATTAAATTAATAAATAAATTAATAATAATAAATACCAAGTGCAGATACTCCAGCACTCTGTGTACCTCTCAGGCCTCCCGTTGCTTAAAGGTATCCTTAGGCTATGGTCGTTGCTATGCAGAAGACCAGTTCATCTTATTTAGTTGAGTTTCAGCATTGGTTGCATCCCAAACAACATCTTTTTGTGAGGTATTCAGCTTTGGCCACAGAAGGGAATACCAATTAATTCACCCTATTTTCTTTTAAGCATGGTGCCAATGGCCAATTAGGCAAAAGGTTACACATTGTAGCGACAGCTTGGGAAATCAGCTCAGACTAGCGTTGCCCTGATTAAACAAGTGCTCTGTGTCCTGGAGAGAAGGAGAGAGATTGAATGTGAGAGGTTGGTGGGTGGGAGAAATAAGAGGAGAATTACAAATAGGAAAAGGGAGGAAAAAAGTGTAGGGCAAAAACTGAAAAGAAACAAAAAGATAAAGGAATGAGGAAAAAAAATAGATGCTGTGAGGTTTGCTGCATTTAAAATATAGAGAATCCTCTGCAGCTCAAGCCTCCTGCCGAAATTCAGAGTTCCCTATATAATTTAAGATATCATTTCCTTTATTTGGAAGACTTAAAATAGTCAAACAAATGGTGCGAATTTCGTTAAAAACTTAGGGGGTCTTCGCAAAGAACAGAAAAAGTCTTTTAAAAAAAAATACGGAGTAACTCATTGACTTCTCTTTAACAATTCCAAAATTAAAAGAAGCACAAGGCAAATGGAAGACCTCCTCTTCCTCTTCCTTCTTTGAGTAACTGTTGATTCCTGGTGGCTGCCCGGACTGGTCCCTGCAGTATTTGGATGTGGTTTGCCCTTGTCTTCTTCCTAGGGCTGAGTAAATGACTGGCACAAGGTTATTTAGCTGGGCTTCTGCCTAAGGCAGGACTAGAATTCATGGTCTTCTAAGTTTTTTAGCTTGGTGCCTTAACCACTATACCAAACTGGCTCTCCTAGGTCACTCTAGACCAGTGGTTCTCAACCTTTTTAATGCCGCGACCCCAACTGGTTGTAAGTCGAGGACTAAACCGGTCGTAAGTCGAGGACTACCCAACCGGTCGTAAGTCGAGGACTTTCCCTGCCCGGGAGCGCCGCGCATGCGTGGTTCCGCCCCCTGCGCCGGCCGAGGCGTAGCTGGCAAGCGGCAGAGGTGGAGCAGGCCGACCACCAGCTGGCCCAGCCCAAGTGAGGTAAGGCACCCGCCGGAAAAGGGGGGAAAAATGGCGGACAAAAAAAAATGGCGGACAAAAAAATGGCGGACAGCCTTGCTTGGCGACCCCCATGAAATGGTCGATCGACCCCAAATGGGGTCCCGACCCACAGGTTGAGAACCACTGCTCTAGACCCTCCGAAAAGGTTTAAGGACATTGAACAATTTTATATATTGCATAACCAGTTAAATATGGTTGAAGAATAATCCCACCAAAGAGGCAAGTGT